ATGGGAGACAAAATGAAGGACATTTTCAATTTTATATTTACAGAAATTATTCTGTAAGAAATGGATAAATACAGTGGTACCTCGCAAGACGAATGCCTCGCAAGACAAAAAACTCGCAAGATGAAAGGGTTTTTTGTTTTTTGAGCTGCTTCGCAAGACGATTTTCCCTATGGGCTTGCTTCGCAAGATGAAAACATCTTGCAAGTTTGTTTCCTTTTTCTTAACACCGTTAATACAGTTGTGACTTGACTTCGAGGAGCAACTCATAGAACGTGGCGTGGTAGCCTTTTTTTGAGGTTTTTAAAGCTTTTTGAGGTTTTTGAAGCTTTTCCAAAACTTTCCCGACACAGTGCTTCGCAAGACGAAAAAAAATCGCAAGACGACAAAACTCGCGGAACAAATTAATTTCGTCTTGCGAGGCACCACTGTATCTTCTTTCTCCAATAAAAGAGTCAAGGGTTTGGGCCTGAGGAGCTGAGCCCTGAGTGATGTCAGGATCTAAAACTGACTGAGATCAGCCAACTGACCACCCCAAATGTGTGTCTAGTAGATAAGAAAGAATGTAGAATTCTCAGCATGTCCACCTCTGTTATGAGATTCTTCTCCATTGTGATTATCCCTATAGAACCTGCTTAACTGATAGCCTTAAGGTAAAGGTAAAGGGACCCCTGACCGTTAGGTCCAGTTGTGGCCGACTCTGGGGTTGCGACGCTCATCTCGCTTTATTGGCCAAGGGAGCTGGCGTACAGCTTCTGGGTCATGTGGCCAGCATGACTAAGCCGCTTCTGGCGAACCAGAGCAGTGCACGGAAACGCCGTTTACCTTCCCAGGTAAGTAACAAAATAATGTTTACCTTTATCACAGAATGTAATTCTTCTGTCATCAAACAAATCAATTTTTCACTGAAAAACTGAATAACCTTTAGTTGTTTCATATTTTAGAAAAATCACAAAATAAATACAACTAATAGTATTTACTGATCACCTTAATATAAAGGAATACTTACTGAGTTTGCTGACCTCCTGTCGGAGATTCTGACACTCCTGTGTCTCATTTACGAGTCTTTCCTGACTCTGAGCAAGTCGTTTCTCTACTTCAAAATATTGTTGCTCTGCAAAACATGCATTAGCACAAGTTCAAATTTTGCCCTTTCTCAGAGCTATTCAAGTCAAAGTGTGCCATTCACAGTTATGTAAAATTGCAGGAATCCTCGTGAAAAGCACACAATCTTTAATCCAAAATACTCTATTTATCAGTCTCAGTTTTTTTGGACCACAACTCTCATCAGCCCCAATTAAGAACGGACAATTATCAGGGAAGATGGGAATTGTATCCAAAACATCTGGAGAGCACCAAGCTGGGGAAGGCTGTTCTAAAGTGATACTAGGTCACCTATCGCCTATCTTCCTCACAGTCCAATCCATGTCCTTTTAAACATGAATGTATATGTGTGGGATTTTGTTATTGTTATCATGTTTTGTATTTTTTGTTATGTTGAAACCACTCTGCAATCTTTAGAAAATAATAACAGTACCTGTTTTCCTAGAGCTGTAGACTAGTCTACATGTCATAAAATGCACCCAGGAATTAAAATCTCATACCACCCTAGACATTTCTGTTATACACCACATGCTGCCCTAAGCACAAGTACCCAAAATTCCAACACTTAAAGTAAATAGCAGCTTTACTTTTATATTGATCTGGTTCACAAGTACCTCTGAATTTTTCTATAGCCCATTTCCAGAAAATTAAGGCCCTGAACATTAACCACATCTGCTCAGTGGTAAGTCAATGATGGGGCTTACTTCCATGTGAGCAAGAGTCATAACTGCACCCTCCACGACTTGTTTCCTAAATGTGAACAGATACTCAACAGGAACTATTTAGAAAGAAAAATAAAACATCTACTAAAACCCCAAGCATCTTGGGTGCTAACTGCAGCCTCTAACACCTTGATGCTCTGCTCTCTTAACCCATACTAGCATAGACAAACGCCTGGAACACCTATGCTTTTGGGGGAGTGTGGCATGCTGTTTTTATTGTTGTGTTTGCATTTTTATGGTTTTCATAGATTCCTCTCTCTTTCTCTCTCACACACACAAGCACAGTTCTAATTCACAGAAAAGTAGATCTAGTTGGAAGGAACCCCAAGGGCCATCTAGTCTGACCCCATGTAGTGCGGAAATCTCAACACGTGATCCCTCATCCAATTTGAAACCATACATGTCCCTGCTTAGCTTTGCAAATGTGCTAGCAGTATTATTGCTGCACCACTTAGGAGTACATGTTTGTGTGTGTGTGTGTGTGTGTGTGTTTTAAATAGATGATTCCCCATGTTTTTATTGGCTGTGGTTTTTCTGTTTCATGTTTGATGTCTTACTGTGCTTTAGTTTGTTGGAAGCAGTCCAGAGAGTGGTGACATGTAAACAATAAATAATTAAAGGTAAAGGTACCCCTGCCCGTACGGGCTAGTCTTGCCAGACTCTAGGGTTGTGCGCCCATCTCACTCTATAGGCCGTGGGCCAGCGCTGTCCGGAGACACTTCCGGGTCACGTGGCCAGCGTGACATCGCTGCTCTGGCGAGCCAGAGCCGCACACGGAAACGCCGTTTACCTTCCCGCTTGTAAGCGGTCCCTATTTATCTACTTGCACCCGGGGGTGCTTTCGAACTGCTAGGTTGGCAGGCGCTGGGACCGAACGACGGGAGCGCACCCCGCCGCGGGGATTCGAACCGCCGACCTTTCGATCGGCAAGCCCTAGGCGCTGAGGCTTTTACCCACAGCGCCACCCGCGTCCCAATAAATAATTATTATGAGTTTAATTAAAAATAATATTAAACTCACATTATAATATTTATTGACTATATGCAGTCCTTTTCTGCCGCTGCTATTATTATTATAGTGGCATGCTGTTTGTATTATTGTATTTGCATTTGTATGGTTTTCATAGATTTCTCTCTCTCTCTCTCACAAACACACACACACACACACACACACAGAGTTCTAATTCACAGAATCGTAGATCCAGTTTGTTGGAAGCAGCCTAGAGAGTGGTGCCATGCAAACTATAAATAATTATTATGAGTTTAATTAATAATAATAACATTAAACTCGCATTATAATAATTATTTGTTTATATACAGTACTTTTCTGCCGCTATTATTATTATTCTTGTTGTTGTTATTATTATTACTATTATTATAGTGGCATGCTGTTTGTATTATTGTATTTGCATTTGTATAGTTTTCATAGAATTCTCTCTCTCTCTCTCTCTCTCTCACACACACACACACACACATAGAGTTCTAATTCACAGAATCGTTAGATCCAGTTTGCTGGAAGCAGCCCAGAGAGTGGTGGCGTGTAAACAATAAATAATTATTATGAGTTTACTTAATATTAATAACTCTGGTCCATGGAGTCACGAAGAGTCGGAAACGACTAAACAACAAGAACAACAATATTAAACTCGCATTATTTTATTGCAGTCCTTTCCTGCCATTATTATTATGGAGGAAAAGGATTGCATAATCCGCCCCGTCTGAATCCCACCTCCTTTAACCTTAAAAGCAACAACAGCCACCCGCCTCCCTCGCATGAACCAGTCCGGGTCCCCGGGGCCGCTTCCCGCCCTGCCCTCCTCGGCTTCCACTCACCGCTGTCCACCTTGTAGCGCTCGTGCCGGGTGCGGAGCGCCTCGATCTCGCTCTGCTGGTCGGCCAGGAACCGCTCGAGCTTCCCCTGCGCCGACTTGGGCAGCTTGGCCACTTCGGCCCGCTCCAGGACCTGCTGCAGCACCGCCGCCATCTTGGGCGGGATACCTGAGGGAAGGAGCTCGGCGGCGACAACGGCGGAAACGACGACACCCTCCGACCCACAACCCCCCGCGCGCGCCTTTACTTCCGGCCCGTGAGGGGCTGGGAAAAGGGTTGAGTGACGGGTCGGGGAGGGCGGGCGAAAGACGCGATGAGTGGGAGGGAGGGGGAGGGAGGTCGGCTTCTGCGCACGCGCAAAGGAAGGCGCCGGCTTCCGCAGCAGCTCTAGAACACAGAGATAGAAATGAAGACGTACCTCCGTCACCGTCGCTTCCGGGTAAATAAGTAAGTAGGTAAGTAAATGAATGAATGAATGAAAAGCGTGGGGACGTCCCGCTGTGTTTCTCCAATTTGGGTCTCCAGATGTTTTATAGGACTACAACTCCCATAATATCCCTAGCTAGCAGGACCAGAATATTTTGCTTCTAAAAGATTTTCTGGCTTAGGCTTAGAAAGGATGTCCTGTTACAGAAAAGCTGACAGAGAGCACTCAGCTTTTAAACTTAATGCATACCACGCAACACACATTTGTAACGTGAACTTTCATGCACATCTGTCTAAGCATCCTTGCAACGCCAATATAATGCCATAACTTGTGACTGCACACTGGTGCAGCAGTCACAAGATCCATCTTTTTTGTAGTAGTAATAATAATAATAATAATAATTTATTTGTACCCCGCCCATCTGGCTGGGCTTCCCCAGCCACTCTGGACGGCTTCCAACAAAATATCAAAATATATTTTTGCAACAGTAATGCATTGAACATTAAAAGCGTCAAGCCTAGAAAAAGGCGTCAAGAGCACCTTTGTAGTTTGGGCTCCAGAAAAATGGAGTTGTCGGTCTTTGTTTAACTTCTATGGTTGCTCAAAGGCTTCCTGGAGAAAAAAAACCTCTGCTTATTTCTAAGGTGAAATATAGAGATTGAAACTCCGCCCGAAGCGCAAAGGCACTTAGGAGCGGAGTGTCCTCCATATCGGGTGTGGCAAGTTTCCTTCCTTTTTTTTTTTTGAAACACCAAATGATCAAACGAAATTTAAAAATAATAGGTGAGTGGATGAAAGGTGGCAGATGCAAGCAGTAGAAAGGAATCACGAAGACACAAAAAAGAGGAGGGGTGGTTGGTCTTATTTCCGCCACACTCAATATGTCGGGTCCGGAGCGCAGCTTTCCACCCCCTTATGCGCACGCGCGTGTCGAGTCTTCATGCGTCACTGAAAGGCTGTCAGGAGAGCGGCGGCGGCGCCTCAAGATGACGGCCAGTGTGACACCTCAGTGTGTGGCAAAGAAGTTGGACGGTGGGACGCGGGCAGGTGAGAGGGACGGGCTGCCTTACCTGGGAATCTTTCCTCAGAAAGAAATGTCGGTGCCACTTAAGATATCTTGGAACGAAACTAGAATAGCCAGGGATGGTGGGAGCCGCAGCATAAAAACACTTGGAGGGCGCCAGGTTGGGGACATAGCTGTCAACTTGTCCCCCTTTTTAAGGGAAATTCCCTTATTCCGAATAGGATTCCTCGCAAGAAAAGGGAAAAGTGAACAGCTATGGTTGGGGAAGCCTAGCGGAGGTGTGAGGGAAAAGGTATGCACCGAGCTCTTCCCTTTCTGGTGGAATGTGGCTTATCATAATTTATTGAATTTATATACAGTACCTGCCTATACCCGGGGTTCTCAGAATAAAATCAATATATAAAACCACAAAATAATAGTAGTAGTAGTAGTAGTAATAATAATAATAATAATAATAATATAATAATAAATTTATTATTTGTACCCCGCCCATCTAGCTGGGTTTCCCCAGCCACTCTGGGTGGCTTCCAACAAAGATTAAAAATACATTAATACATATTAATACATAATATAATATAATAATACTTAAAATGAATAATACATAAAAATACAAAATACATAATAAAAAGAAAAGCAGCAACCCAATAGCCCCACCCCCCAAAAAAAACGCATTTTAAAAGGACATAGAATGGGACAACAGAGGACAAGATGGTTGGACAGTGTTCTCAAAGCTACCAGCATGAGTTTGACCAAACTGCGGGAGGCAGTGGAAGACAGGAGTGCCTGGCATGCTCTGGTCCATGGGCTCGCGAAGAGTTGGACACGGCTAAATGTCTAAACAACAACAAGGATGTAAATCAGATCAACCAAAGGCTTTTCCTGAGCATATGTGCTTTCTCAGAGTAGAAACCTGCTTTGCTTCTCTTTTCGTCCTTTAATTTCCGGTGTTTTGCTGATTTGCCAGCTGCTGACTGGGATATGGGACATTTGCAATAATGGGAAGGAGCTACTTTGTGGAAGAAGCGGTTGGGCAGTATCTTTCGGAGCTCGCCACCAACTCGCAAGCCCTTCTCACTGGCCTCTTGGTAGGGCAGGTAAGTTTGTTATGTGTGTGTTTGTGTGTGTCTAGTGGGACCTTATCCACCCACCCTGCTTTCTGTATCATTGTGGGGGAAGCCTCTTCTCTGAATAAATGCTCATAGAGTTTTAGTGTCATCATCATAATCACATGTCAGATTTGTTCGCTGCTGCTGTATCTTGCCCACGACTTATTACCAACCAAAGGGATAGACAGACAAATAACGCCACATAGATGCTTTAAAACCAAGTGATTACTCCTTAAGTTACAATTGGGTGTTTCCAGCTGGTTATTAATAGTTTGATTCTATTACTGTTTACACAGATATAAATTTATCCTTGTTTATTGGTAAGTATGTTTTGGGTTGCATCTTAAAAGCACAATCCAACAGGAGGGTCTTTTCTGTACATGCCCCATGGAGTCCACACAGGTGAATTTCCTGCTGGTTTGTGCTCTTTTGGAGCTGTTCCATGGATTTACTTTGAGATTGATTGTGCATTTAGACCAATCTCTTCTTGAAATGTCGGAGAATAGTAGTTTAGAAGGGCTGTATTTTGTCAGTTGTTGCAGAACAGTAACAAATCAGGTTATTTGAGGTTTATTATATTATTCTTACATTTTAGAAGCATTACTTTAAAAACCAAGTTGTTTTCGGCCAAATCGTGTTAAATTCGATATACTGTTAGCTGCTATTATGTTTCCCAGAGAGGGACTAAGTTTTGGGGAGGGGTTTCATTATGGAAACTACTCACAGTTTGAGCTTATGAAGTGACTAAATTAGGCACACCGAAATGTATTGATTTTAGCCTTCCTGAAGCACTCTTTGTGTGTATACATATATACACGTGTTATGGTAGATGAACAGTTGTAAAAGTGCTGAAGGGTTGAATTTGGATTCTTTTCTCTCTCCAAAGCTACTTCCTTCCTTCCCTATTTCTAGTGTTCCCAGCAAAGAGACTATGTTGTCCTTGCCGTTCGAACACCTCCAAAAGAGGAGGAAAGTAAAAGCAATACAAGTCGTCGTTCAGATTTGTCTAATATTGATGAAGAATGGATCGCAGCACACGCCAATCAGGTCATAAACATTCAGTTGTTGCAGTTGCTTTCATTCTGAAAAGTGCTGTTTTTCTTGTAATGCTATTTCACTTCGATAATTGGTTTCTAAGCTACTAAGTACTGTGTTCTTGTAGTTTATAGTCTGAAGCTGTAGACCTTCACAAATTTTAGAATGCTATGCATACCTGCGATAGCTGTAAACTTAGCTGACTCCTGATACTTCATATCCTGGCATCTTCCTGTCTGTTTTGACTTCTGATGTGGCCTTAACTGTACTTTTGGTCCCCATTTTCAAACAATCATAACATATATATTGGATAGACAAGGTGTTCACCATGATCACTGGAATATTTCATAAATCGGAGGGCCATTGCAACTATGTTTTTACTTGCATTATTACCTTAAGGAAGGAATGGGCAATGTGTGTAATATAATAAGACAAAGATTATGATGATTTATTCAATTTATATACTGCCCTTTATCAAGAGATCCTGAAAGAATATTTCTTTGTTAGTTAGTTTGTTAAACTTGTAGCCCACCCTCCTATATAGGTAATGGGGTGAGGTTGTGATTTATCTGAGGCCACCCTGAGGTGCAATTTGAAACTGGGTTTCCCTGTTTCAAGCCCCGGTTGCTAGGTGCTGTGCCGTATTAGAGTGTGTTGTGGTATTTAATATACTGCTTAAGAATGTGGAAGTTTGACAGAATTCTGTGAGTAATGAAAATGGGGAAAAAATTATAATTGAAGAATCACAGACATATTGACAAGATCCCTATAGCTTGTATAGTTTTGCTTGACTATTGTATTGGAATTAGGGTCTGTTCCTTGTAACTGCGCAAATGAGAGGCAGTATCCCTTGAATAGCAAAAGGAGGTCACTACCAGTAGACCTTATGTTGCCCATTCCTGAATTAATGTCCTGTAGATGTTGTGTTCATGGGCTTGGCAGATGTCAAAGGCATGCTGATTTTTATCTGCTCTGTTTTTCTACCATGATTGCTGCCACAGTGTGAATTCCCATCAATCATTGAAATGTATGTTATACATGGCCAGAAATTGTCAGATGAATAACGGTGACATCATTTGTGTTTGTCTGACTTTATAGGTGTCACGAATGCTTCCTGGGGGATTGCTAGTCCTTGGTGTCTTTACTGTGGCAGCTCCAGAGTTGGCAAAAGAAATCCAAAATACCCTAAGGAAGGTAAAGGGTAATACCCCTAGCATCCCTCTGGACTGGGGTGGGAAATCTGTTACCCTCCAGATATTGTTGCACTTCAACTCTCATCTGCCTCAGCCAGCTGACTGTGGTCCAGCAACGTCTGAAAGGACACTGGTACACCACTCCTGTCCTAGAAAATACTACTTGAATAGCAGCTAGCCTTCATTTTTTTCTTAAGCATAGTGACCAAAGTGGCTTACAACCGTTATGTGTGTGTGGAAACGCTATAATCAACATACAGTACTAGCATACAAACAATGCATTTAATAAAATAACAAATGAAATAGAATAGTAAAACAGCAGCAGCCCATAAAATGAATCAAAAGCTCTACAAAGCAACAAGATAAAAAGTCTCTACTTAGCAGGCAAAATGAATTTTGGGAAGGGAGTTTTGTACAGCCAGCAAAAAGGCCTTCTATACAAGCCTCTGCTGCTAGCAGAGCAGAGAGAGTGGCTTCCCCTTAAGGTTTTAAAACCCAAGCAGGTTTGTGTGGAAGAGTGGGAAAGTTCAGTCGGTAGAGCATGAGCCTCTTAATCTCGGTCATGGGTTTGGGCAAAAAGATTCCTGCTTGGCCCGGGGGGTTGGACTAGATGACCCCTGTGGCCCCTTCCAACTCTACAGTTCTGTGATTCTAGGTCCCCTAGTGCTAAAGTGTTCAGGCATTGTAGAGGGATAAGGCATTCTACTTCGTCAGTTTGGTACCCTTCAGATGTTGCTAGATTGCAAGCTCATCTTATCCTTGCCCATGCTGGCTGGCTGGGACTGATGGGAGTCCAAAAGCATTTGAAAGGCACAAGGTTGGGGAAGGCTGCTGTAAATCGTGACACGACTACAAATGTAATAGGGGCTCAGTTGCGATGGTGACATGCTTTCTGCAGCTAAGATTTCCTTGAATTGCATGTGATGAGTAGATAATGTTCTGGCTTTAGAAATTATGTTTAGCTTTCGGCTTTCGGCATTATAACTTGAATGACAGGTGTGCCTCACCCCCAATTATGTGGGGGTTATGTTCCGGACCCCTGCACCCATCAGTAAAATTGCGTAAAGTGTGGAGCATAAGGAGGGTGTGTGCATGGGGCAGGGAGGAGAGAGAGAGACTCACCCTGGAAATTGCTCAGGGCTGCTGCTCAGCCTGCTTGCCTGAGGGGAGCCAGTGCGCATGGCAGTGGCGGCACCTGGCCACGGAAAGCGAGGGCCAAGTAGGGTGCCCTGCAGAAACGGTGCCAGAATGGTATAGGTAGGTGTGTGGTGCCTCCCGCCCTGCGCTGCTGGTCGATTGAAGGCCACCTTCCCTCCCTTACCCTGCATCCCTGAGCAAGGGAATGTCAGTCTATTTATTTACCGTAGTGGCCCGAATATAAGCAGCACCTGAATATACGCCACACCTTTAAAATTGGGGGGGGGGGCAGAAAGAAAAAATACCTGAATATAAACCGCTCCATTCCTCGCTGCTCCTGGCTGCATACTGGGCGAGTTGGGGAGGGAGCCATGCTGCGTTGTCGGCCAGGGAGAGGACAGAGGACTACGCGCGGGGTGGCCACCGCTTTTCAGAGCTCCTGCCGCTGTTTCCTAGTGCTCCTGGCTGCATACTGTAAGGTCACGAATATAAGCTGCACTTTAACATTTCACGGTTGGAATTTGAGGGGTTGGCGGAAATGCGGCTTATATTCAGGCCAATATGGTATTTCGTGGTGACCTGCGTAAAAACAGTTGCACAGTTGTGCGTATGTGGGGTGTTTGCCTGTACACTTTCTGTTTCTTTTTTAATGAGAACTAGAAACCAGTCTTAACTCTCTTCTTAATTCTCTCCAAGCTTGTGTTTTCAGTAGAAAAATCTGTAGCTAGAAAGAGGTTGTGGAACATCTCAGAAGAAGATGTGTCTGACAGAGTGGCTCTTCATCTTTGCTCCGCTACAAAGAAGTATCCTTTTTTATTTTATTTTTTACATTAAAATTAGGACCTTCATTTTAATGTGTAAAATAGATTTGGTTATCTGTGCTCTGATCTGCATCAATTAGATAGCTCATGCTACAGTCTTATGCACAATTTACTCCTAAGCTGCATTGAAACACAGTTCAACTTGCTTCTGAGTAAACCTGCATAGGACTGTGCGACGATCCGGTTCTTGGTCATGCTGTGTTCCAAAGCCAGTGCTGCCACTCAGCACATGATCAATAGCTGCAAAGGAAACTAACACCAAGGTTCACCAACATTATGCATTTGTAGATACAGATGGATTTGTGGGCTTAACTTGATGTTCACATTGTGAGCTACACACTATGAGAAGATTGAAAGAAAGACGATAGGTTTGGATTGCAGCCTTTCCGTCTATCTTGCTCCCCTGCCCCCTGTGCCACTGCCACATCTGCAGCCCTGCCACGCATAGCAGCTGGGGCGAAAGGTTGGGGGGGAAGCAGATAATTGTGCGAGCTTGGAGGTGGTCCGGTGATCACGCCCAGATCAGGCCCCGTGCTGTTATGTGATAGCAGTGAAGTCGGATTGCAATTTAACAGCTCCTGGACCAAACCAGTCCCTCTCTTAGAAAAACCCTGTGTGTCAAAAACCCCATTCTGGGACTTTCTACTGGTTGCAACTGGTGGAAACGGCCAACAGCCCTTCCATCCAAGCAGTCAGCAGGCTTAGCTGGGAGAAGTGGTGGTTTGGACAGGTCTTTCTGTTGGATCTGGTTACTGATTATGAAAAGCAAATGGAACAAATAATTTAACATGGCTCTGTTGGGTTTTTCTGGATTACAGGGCTGGGTGCTTTAAATGTAGTAGGACCCTTCTCTGATCAATGTGGCATCTCCTTAAGTATTTGGATAATTGCATAAAGTTTGCCACAGATCCTGCTACTTCCAAGTTACCGCTTAGAATACATGGCTGTTCTCCTACTGCTGCAAGTTAGCGAGTGTTTAGCCACAGCTGGAAATACAGACACTGCCATGACATAAAGGAACGGTTTGAAAAATGACTTCTTTTTACAAGTGCTTTTTAAATAACATCCTTTAAGCACACTTGGTTATTATTCCTCAATTTGGAACGAATGCTTTGCCGCACTTATGATGTACAAGATCCAAAGGTAAGTTGTGTTTGTTTGTAGGAGACGATGTTGTTAACTTTAGGCCTAATTTGGCAGGGAACTGTTTTGCAAGCCCCACTTCAAATGATTGGTGGATTCCCTATAGCTATTGCTGTACTCAATAAACTAACTCATGCACTTCAAGAGAGCCTGCTGAATACATTTTCTTGGTGGAATGGGCCGGTCTCTCTCTTGCAGTTCTTAGCAGCTTGCATGAAGCATTTAACTTCAGATGCAGCAGTAACACTGCCTTAGACTGCAGTACCCACATATATGTGGGTAAGCATATGTAGATTGTTCAGACTCTGCGAGAAACATTTAACTATTGCCTTAATAATTTAGCCTCTCCTCTCCTTCTGTTTCCTCCCTCATTTAGAGTACAGCCAAGCCGGCAGACTGGAAATATCAGCATGGGCTTGCCACGTCATGGCTATCTTTAGAATGCACAATTAATGCTAATATACACATCCCACTACCAGTGACCTTGGCCAGCCACGACTTAGAGAAAAACACAAGGGTAACAGAACACTTGCTATGCATGACTTACATCTTGTCCGTTTAAGCTAATATTTATATTTTATATTAATGCTGTGAACTGCCCTGACATCTACAGATAAGGGGCGGTATACAATTTTAATAAATCATAATGTTTTAAGTTAATGTGTATTTATATATTGACTAGAATGATGTATATCGTTCTGTTGGATTCTGCCTTTCCTTGCTGCTTTCTGAGCCTGGACAGCTTCTGTACTCTGCCCATTAAGCCACTTGGGAGATTCAGGACAGATTTAAAAAATACTTCTTCATACAGCGCCTCGTGAATGTGGCAGCCCTTCTTTAGAGACTATGTTAAGGTGCTGGGACACGGGTGGCGCTGTGGGTAAAACCTCAGCGCCTAGGAGTTGCCGATTGCATGGTCGGCGGTTCGAATCCCCGCGGCGGGGTGCGCTCCCGTTGTTCGGTCCCAGCGCCTGCCCACCTAGCAGTTCGAAAGCACTCTTAAGTGTAAGTAGATAAATAGGTACTGCTTTATAGCGGGAAGGTAAACGGCGTTCCGTGTGCTGCGCTGGCTCGCCAGATGCAGCTTGTCACGCTGGCCACGTGTCTGCGGACAGCGCTGGCTCCCGGCCTATAGAGTGAGATGAGCGCACAACCCTAGAGTCTGTCAAGACTGGCCCGTACGGGCAAGGGGTACCTTTACCTTTACCTTTACAAGCAGTTCTGTAGATGTGTTTACATATGACATGTTTTAACTATATTTTGGAATCTAAAATAAAAAGTGGGCCGTGATCAGCCGTTATGCAGCCCTTCTTAAACTGTTATGAACTCATTGGTTTGGGAGTGTTTGACCTTCAGATGTTGTTGAACTACAACTCCCATCAGCCTTTACCATTGTCATGCTAGCTGGAGCTGATGGGAGTTCTGGTTCAGCAACATCTGGAGGACCAAAGGTTCACCACCCTTGCCTTGGAGGAATGGCAGGATACAAATGTGATTTTTTAAAAAGTTTAGTGTGTCTGATGATTGAACAGCCCTCAGGCTTCCATGATGATCGCATGTAAATAAAGATGTACCGGGCTGAACATTAAAGTCAGCAACACAACATGCCTCCTTTTCTTTTGTTTTTGCTTTAAAGAATGGATTAGCACGATGGGCCAAACAGATAGAGGAAGCTGTATTTCTGATCAATGGTCAAGTTAGAGAGGAAGATGCTGACCTACTGGAAGGGCAGGTAAGTGCTGGACAACGGAGTCTTAACGGTGGCATAGGTCACAATGTTTAGAGAGGTATGTGTTTTCAGTGGTCAGTTTAGCATAGCTTGACTTGATGAGTACACCTTTATTTTGAAGTTAATGATGCTATTGCAGGAAAGGTGGCCAAATGAGTCTCAAATACTGAAGCCATGTGTCTCTTCTGATCACATGGTAGTAAGCAAACCATGCATAATGATTTGCCAGTTGACCAGAAGAATTTCACACACTGTGATTAGAAGGTCGGCGGTTTGAATCCCCGCGTTGGGATGAGCTCCCGTTGCTCTGTCCCAGCTCCTGCCAACCTAGCAGTTCGAAAGCATGCCAGTGCAAGTAGTTAAATAGGTGCCGCTGCAGCGGGAAGGAAAACAGTGTTGCAGTGCGCTCTGGTTTCCATCACAGTGTTCCATTGCGCCAGAAGTGGTTTAGTCCTGCTGGCCACATGACCTGGAAAGCTGTCTGTGGACAAACTCTGGCTCCCTCAGCCTGAAAGCGAGATGAGCACCACAACCCCATAGTCACCTATGACTGGACTTAACCATCCAGGGGTCCTTTACCTTTTACCTTTATACTTGGTGTTATGCCTATCGGCGTGGTTGCTCAAGAGCGAACAGGCAAGATCCCCACTGGCTTTATTATTGGTGCAAAAACATTTACAGTGCAGAACGCCTCAATTCCATGTCTTGCTCAGTCACTAGCAGAATCTGAGAGTGGGTGGTCCTTAAACTTTCCCCAGCAGAGTAGTCTCTTGACCCCCAGCCGACGCCTCCCCTCTCTGTGCGACAACCTACTGCGCAGGGAGGGCGTGGCTAAAGGGGGACCTGCTTTCCCCCCGCTTTGCTCATGCACGGTGTCTTGGCTCTTTCTTGCATCCTCCGAGCCCGGCATCTCTCCCCCACTTAGGGCTTCCCTCCTCTGCTGAGGAAGTGCTGCTTCCCACGATCTTTGGAGGCTCCCTGTAATCCAGCTGCCTTTCCACCTCTCGCCCCTGAGGAGATGGCAGTTCCCTGACATCCGGTAACTGTTAAACTGTGTTCCTCCTTTCAGAATGTTCATGTATCTCCCAGAGTCAAGGGCAATCGCTCAGTAGTAGCCTGCATGCTTTTCATGCAGAAGATCCCCACTTCACTCTCCGACATTTCCAGCAAGAGCTGGGAGAGACCCCTGTCCAAAATCCTGGAAAGCCACAGTAGTTAGTGTAGACAGTTCTGAGTTAGATGGATTTGTGGTCTGATCTGGTATGAGACAGCGTCCTGTGGAGGAAAAGAGCTATCCCACTAGGATGAGAAATTCGGGATCATTGTGATTGTGGCAATTTATATTTTGTGTGTCTTTAAAAAGAAATGAAAAAACCCTCTTCCCTATCTGACTTCTTTTTTACAGCAAGGTATTCTGCATCTCCATGCATTGGTCATTCTTTCACCACCAGTTTGATGTACCTAGTCTATGTGTTTATTTTCTGAAACTGGATACCTAATGTTTTGGGGTTTTATATCGTGAAATGTTTTTTGAGTATAGGACTTCCCAAAGTCCCGAGTAACCACCTTAGTGCTTTGTGGCCTTGGCTGCTGAGGGCTGAGCCCAAGGGTAGAATTTGCAGTTTTGTTTGTTCTTCCACACAAATGCAGAACTAAAGACTGTTAGGAGAAAACGTGCAACGTTTTCGAAAAAAACCGTATCCAACATTTATCTTGTAAAATTCACAACACACAATTTCTATCTTTGGATATGGAACACATGAATTATTTTCTCTGCCATTTTCTATGTTTCAATTATCTTTACAGAAAAAGTCTGCAAGAGGAAACACGCCATCAGCTACTCAGAGCCTTGATGTTCGGGTTTTAATGCAATTGGTAAGTAAATTCACCACTGCAATGGTAAAACGAGAGTGATGTGAAAAGTCCCTGGTTTAGTTCTATGAATTCACTCGATGGCCTTATGTAATCTACTGTTTGTTGGCCTCCGCCTCTCTTCCATGGGGCAAACAGTAAAGGCCTATGGAATATCTCCATGGAGAAGGTCACTTCCTTTTCTTCCATGCTGATTTAAATTCCCACTGGATTCTTGTTTGAACTTGATGTTTGGGACCTTAGCAGCTATAAGAGATGCAAGCTGGGAAGTCCCCTGTTGAACTCTCCCATTCCCTACCTAAATTGTGGAATTTCCAGCAGAGATGCAGAATATAGCACATAACACTTTATAGCTACTATCTCTCAGCGTCAGTGATGAGCACTAAAAGTGCTCTTCAACTGTTTAGTATTAATAGTCTAAACCAGCCTTTCTTGGGTTCTCAGATGTTGTTGGGCTAAACATCATCCCTGACTGACCATGGATGATGGGAGTTGTGGTAAACTGCAGGGTGTAAATCTTACTCTAAAGGTTGTTGTAGGTTGCCGACCTATAGAGATGAAGCTGCAAGTCAAATCAGTTGGGGTCTGTACAGATGTTCCAAGAGGCCAGATGAAAAAGTAGAGGCCCTTGTGCTCAGTGGCTTGATGCTAATCCTCAAAAGATTAACATGGCTGTGACAGCAGAGCATCTAATTTTGACAAGCTGTTTTTTAACTGAGACTGAAGCTTAAATCGTGAGTGTTAAAATCTTAATTTATACTGCTGTTGAAAACTGTTGTTCATGTAGTCCAGGCTTCCTCAACCTCGGCCTACAATGTTTTTGGCCTACAACTCCCATGATCCAAAGCTAGCAGGACCAGTGGTCAAGGATGATGGGAATTGTAGTCTCAAAACATCTGGAGGGCTGAGGTTGAGGAAGCCTGATGTAGGCTGATCCCTTGTTGATTTCCCTTTCCCCAAATGCTGATCAATAGTACTTTCAGAATGATAGCAACACCTGTCATCTTCTTGTACAGAGGGGAAAGGGAGTAAGCCTGCAATGTGAATACTAGAGAGCTCCATGTTTTAACATTGCAAAAGGTCAGGCTAAATATATTTTGATGAGAACAGACCATATAAACAGACATATAAAACAGCCGGAGAATTTTAAAACTGTAAACTCTGGAAATGTAAAAGTGGCCAAGAAATTGAGAAACCTGTTCTTGAGACTTCTTTATGTTTTCTCTTTCAGTCACGTAGTTCAAACGCCAGATCCACAGCAACAGTCCAGATATGCAGCGGCTCCATAAATCTTAAAGGTGCTTTAAAATGCAAAGCTTACATCCATAATAACAAGCCCAGAGTTAAAGATGCTGTTAAGGTACTTTTGCTGCCCTTCTGTCTACTGAAGGATTTAGTCTTAATCCTTTCATCCCAGATATTTTAGCAAACAAGCAAGAAAGCAAGCGAGCAAGCAGATTTTGTTGTGTTTTCAGAAACCTGCCATCATACAATTTCACCATAAAGGTCCTCAAACTGTTTAGTTTCCTACTGAGCATTAATCCAGAATAAATTTGTAAAAACTAAAAGAACAATAGCATACAAATGAACATAATGGAACGGTATAGTATACAGTTACATACAGTTCAGAAGGGAAATTCCTAGCTAGGAGTTTCACAAGTAGATCCTTACCTACATTCATTTAAATTTTTAGCAGTTTTTGTCAAAAGAGCAATTATGAATTTTACTGTTCTGAATGTGGCATACCTACTCTGATCAGACAGTAAATATAGTAACTTCTCATCTATTGATTTCCTTCTGAGTTTCAACAGTAACTGAAAATTTACATTTAAATCACAATTCCATATACGTTTCATTCCCCTGTAAAGATGCGTTTGATCCTCCACAGCTAATGAATTGCATTAGCATTCCACCTTGGGAGTCCAGGGTTTGGCTGTCCTCTCCTGGGTTTCTGTATGTCTCAGGAGTGCATCTGATATTTCACATGGGTCTGGGATAAAGGGAAATAAAGCGAGAGCAGGAGCCTCCAGCCTCTTCGTCTCCAGCCCCTGAAACTGAGGGTGCTAAGGATGCTTCCTTTTACTTGTAGTATCTGCCTTCCTGCTCTGTCAGAAGCCACAGTTTTCTTCTGTTGAAGGAACCATAACCATTTTCAACATGTTCACCAGCGGCCAGTCTCACTTCTGGGATTATTTGGCATTCTAGAAAATACAGTCTCAGGACTATATTACCCATTTTTGGCCCTTCTCCCAAACTGGACCAGCTATCCGGCTCAGAAGGCAGGCTGAGCTTTCACATATTGCTTGTTTAACCTTTAATACCTCCCTGAGTTGTTGCCCAGTGGAAAGAGGCTTCAAACGCTGGGATGTCTTTGTATCTTTTTGTTCTTGCCTTTGCAGGCCTTGAAGAGAGATATAATAAACACTCTCTCTGATCGTTGTGAAATGTTATTTGAAGACCTGCTTCTAAACGAAACACCAGGAAAGAAAAGTAAGAGCGGGCGGAAGGAATTGTAGGACTATATCTAGGTTTTTTTTTTAAATTGCTTTTGAATTTGGATTTTTAAAATGAATTCCTTCTAAGGAATAGGAGGACGTGTTTATTAGTGAAAACAAGGCTGGAGTCATGTAAGTCCATGTGTCTGAGTACTGCATGTGGAAGCTGCTGTCTATACTGCTCTAACAATAGCTAGGTTTTTCCCCGAGCAAATTATTCAAACTAGTTTCTCCCCATTGCTTTTGGGGGGAAGGGCAATAGATGCAAACTTAACTTGCAGCACAATCTGATGCACATAGCCTAGATGTCACTGCACCATTGAAACGGCAATATTATTAATTGCCTGCAATTTTCAGTTGCCTCTTTAGGTGGCATAGTTTGTCTACGTATGTGCATGCTTTTGCATATTATGGGCCAACTAAGTTTGCTGTTTAGAGTCGAAACAAATTGTTCAGGCTCATTTCCCCTCCTTCTTCAAAGCATTCTGTGTCCTCAAGTTTGCTTTTTGTCATTTATTAGCCAAACTTCCCAGACTGCAATAGCGGATATCATTGTCAGTTTATTGAAGTAAAAATGAATTGGAGAGCAACAGGGGGCAGGAGGGGGGAGACATTTGGGACATTTCTCCCCCCCCCCAAATACGGGAGAGTAAGTAAAACATCCCAGTTAAATTTTTGATGGCAGCTTCCCACCTTCCTCAGCAAACTGTTTCTTCTCCAGCACTTCATTTGACCTTGGTATCAAAAGTTAGGAGCAGAGCCATTGAAATGAATGTACTGGTCCATTCATCTCCTTGCTTCTACTTTGAGTAGAACTTGGTTGGCTACAATCTAATATATAAAATCTCTCTTTCCCACCCCCGGAATAAATCCAGTTCGGAAGACCAGGCAGTGGCTTCAGCAGGCTTACAGCCTTGGAAGAGAATTTATGCAGCTTTACTGAGAAATTACATTTTCCTCCATGCTTGTGGGCTGTTCTGCGTGATCAGTCTCTGTGGCGCAGGATAGCAGACTTGAGATCCCCTTGGCACAGCCATGCCAACACCGCTTCTAGTCAGTCCCTTCTGCCAGATAACTCCTCAACAGAGCTTTCAGACATGCATTCAGTGTCAACACTAGAGCTATGGAAAGATGCAAATTGGTGACATTGTTATATTGTATGTTTCATTTTTTAGATTTGATAGCTCACCAAGTAATCCATATGCTTCTTGCAGTACCCGCAGTGCAGTTGTAAATTAAATTAATATAAAATTGAGATTGCGTAATGAGGGCATGTGACACACCTATACAGACATAGCACTGATGCTGCCTGAACACACAAATGCTGGAGTATATACTAGTAGTCACAGTGTCCCTCAGTGGTGTTTAACAAGGCCTTTCCTCTCTCCCTATTTTATTTTATATTTCTGTTTTAGATTCTGAAAGGGAGTACCACACTTTGCCTTGCAGAGTGTTTGCTCCCATCGTTGGGTCCAGTGTGTTGCTGTGTGACTATAAGTTTGGAGACGAGACAGCCAGGGAAATCCAAGAGCGCTTCCTTGAGATGCTGGATCAAGCTGTTCAACCAGAGGATTTGCAGACAGCTGAGGAAATGAATATGGGTAAATATAGCCACTAAGTTAAGAGGCGGATTACGCTTTGCCAGGAATTACTGAGAAGCTCAACCTGTGGAACAAGCAGAGCTTAACACTGGCTCCTAAAATGTTTTCTTCCTCGAACCTGAGCCTCAACCAGTGATGTCCAAGCAAGAGGGAAAGTTGGGTTTAGGCTATTCACTTTCATCCATATTGGTCTAAATGGTGGTGTTACTTGGTAGTGGCACCTAGTGGTGGTGGGGTGTCTGCCAAAGGTCAGTACAAAACAACCAAACTCTAAACATAAAATGTAAGAGAATAGCTACATGATTTTAATAACAATAACAATAATAAATTTTTATTTATATCCTGCCCTTCCCGGTTTAAAAACCAGGCTCAGGGGGGCTAACAGCAAATATAAAACACTGATTAAAATGCGACTTAAAAACAGCATAGAATACAACGTAAAATGCAGCATTAGTATCAATAAAATTCAGTAAAAAATGTCCTGGTTTGTGATTTTTTTAAAATTACGACCTCCTTTTTTTGGGAGTACAAACAATTTTTTTGGTTCACGAGCAAATATTTTGGATTACGACCCCGGTTTTTTGGAGGCCCCATTGGCGAAAGCACGCCTTGGGTTACAACCTGTTTTGGTTTACGAACGGACCTCTGGAACAGATTATCGTTGTAAACCAAGGCACCACTGAAACTTTCTATTTTGGGTCCATAGTTCAGTCCTTATGCTGTCGCATCCACTGTTTCTAGTGCTCTCCTGTCCTTCTCTGGTTAGCTTTCTTAACAGTCCCTAAAACAAATTAACTTGACTCACTTTAGAAGTTTGTAGTTGGAATTAATAAATAATCCATAAATTAGCTTGCAATTAAAAAAACCAAAACCAAAACCCTAACTTGTTTGGATATGGAATTTGCTATGCTTTTCTATTCTTTAGCATAAGCAAATACGTTTTGCATCAGGAATTTCCTTCGCTAAATCCCTGTTGCTACCATCAAGGGGTTAAGTCCTCTTGAGTAGATCAACACAAATAAGATTTCAGCGAGGGTAATCCCTTCTCCTGTACTCATTCTTTCTTATCTAGTGGAAGACCTAATGAACTCAAGCAATAGGTCTTCTGGCCTCTACAGAGCTGTGTAGCTGTGAGTCACTTTTGAGTCGCTTCTGGCGTTCTTGTTGAGATAAAGCCTTCCTAGCATTTTTAGACCCTGAGATATGAGGTTTAAGGCTCATTTCAGTGGTTGTGTGTGTATAAGTAAGGCCCATGACTGTAGTTATTCTGTACTCAGACTAAATTACGCAGATGCATTTTGCATATGTTTACTTGTAGCTGAGCTTCTGATCCTACCGTTTTCCAAAGCGTTTGGACAAGGCTGTGTGTTACTGGGCAAGGAGGGGAGACAAGTGTGTGAGAATGGGATTAGGGTGAATCCATAAAGACCATTTTTGTATCTTCTTTCTTAAACCAGTTGAAGTAACCCCCCTGAAGGAATTCCAAGATGTTGTGCAAGAGAAACGGTTGACTAAAGAAGTGCTTCTGTTGAAGCTTCATCAAAATATAGGTATGTAGGCTCCAGCAATTGCTCTTGCACCAATGGAAGCAATGAGTGGTATTCAGCACTAGTCCTACTTGGAGTAGACCTATTGCATTTATCTGCATGACTAATTTAGATTCATTAATTTCCAAAGGTCTACTCTGAACAGGATTTAGCCAAATACAACTCAGGGGGAAATGAGAAACGGATGCAGTCGTTGTGGTTTATATTGGCGCCCCAAATGAGCATTCTCTCTACAGTGCATCAGGTTGAGCTTCCCAATTTCGAAGGTCATTTGTGATGCCTCATTGGGTATAAAGGACTGAGGGTGGCATGACAGGGTCCTACTAGAACAGAAACGCAGTCTGTTTTGCCAGTGTTTTCCACTTACTTAGCCGCCCCTTTAGGATACTGCATGCCAGCAGGGGCACAATTACAGTGGTACCCCGCAAGACGAACGCCTCGCGAGACGAAAAACTCGCAAAACGAAAGGTTTTTTCGTTTTCGAGTTGCCTCGCAAGACGAATTTCCCTCTGGGCTTGCTTCGCAAAACGAAGCTTGCCCCGGGGACAGCGGGTCTTCTCTTTTGAAGCAAGGGGCTGCGGGGAGATCGCTTCTCCCGGTGCTCCGAAGCGGGGTGGGGGGGGCGGGAACACCTGCCCCAGCCGCCGGGCTTCGTAGTCCTGCTGCGAAGCCGGGCGGGGGGCGGGAACACCTGCCCCAGCCACCCCGCTTCGGAACGCTGCTCCGAAGCGGGGTGGGGGGGCGGGAACACCTGCCCCAGCCGCCGGGCTTTTTAGCGCTGCTGTGAAGCCGGGCGGGGGCGGGAACACCTGCCCCAGCCACCCCGCTTCGGAACGCTGCTCCGAAGCGGGGTGGGGGGGCGGGAACACTTGCCCCAGCCGCCGGGCTTCGTAGCGCTGCTGCGAAGCCGGGCGGGGGGCGGGAACACCTGCCCCAGCCACCCCGCTTCGGAACGCTGCTCCGAAGCGGGGTGGGGGGGGCGGGAACACTTGCCCCAGCCACCGGGCTTCGTAGCGCTGCTGCGAAGCCGGGCGGGGGGCGGGAACACCTGCCCCAGCCACCCCGCTTCGGAACGCTGCTCCGAAGCGGGGGGGGGGCAGGAACACTTGCCCCAGCCACCGGGCTTCGTAGCGCTGCTGCGAAGCCGGGCGGGGGGCGGGAACACCTGCCCCAGCCACCCCGCTTCGGAACGCTGCTCCGAAGCGGGGTGGGGGGGCGGGAACACCTGCCCCAGCCGCCGGGCTTCGTAGCGCTGCTGCGAAGCCGGGCGGGGGGCGGGAACACCTGCCCCAGCCACCCCGCTTCGGAACGCTGCTCCGAAGCGGGGTGGGGGGGCGGGAACACTTGCCCCAGCCACCGGGCTTCGTAGCGCTGCTGCGAAGCCGGGCGGGGGCGGGAACACCTGCCCCAGCCACCCCGCTTCGGAACGCTGCTCCGAAGCGGGGTGGGGGGGCGGGAACACTTGCCCCAGCCACCCCGCTTCGTAGCGCTGCTGCGAAGCCGGGCGGGGGGCGGGAACACCTGCCCCAGCCACCCCGCTTCGGAACGCTGCTCCGAAGCGGGGTGGGGGGGGCGGGAACACTTGCCCCAGCCACCGGGCTTCGTAGCGCTGCTGCGAAGCCGGGCGGGGGGCGGGAACACCTGCCCCAGCCACCCCGCTTCGGAACGCTGCTCCGAAGCGGGGTGGGGGGGCGGGAACACCTGCCCCAGCCGCCGGGCTTCGTAGCGCTGCTGCGAAGCCGGGCGGGGGGGGGCGGGAACACCTTCTGAAGGCGGGCGGGGGGCGAAAGTCTTTGTCCCCCCTGCCTGCCTTCCCAGGGGCTTTTAAATCGCCCCGGACAGCGGAGAAGTCCTCCGCTGTCCCGGGGCGATTTTAAAATGCCGCCCGCCAGCATTTTAAGATCGCCCGGACAGCGGAGAAGTCCTCCGCTGTCCCAGGGTTTTTTAAAATGCTGGGGGTGGGAAGAAAAGCCCTTGTCCCCCCCCCAGCCTAGGAACGCATTAATTGATTTTCAATGCATTCCTATGGGAAACCGTGCATCGCAAGACGAAAAAACCGCAAGACGAAGAGACTTGCGGAACGAATTAATTTCGTCTTGCGAGGCACCACTGTATAACAATTTGTGAAAGCAGCTGAATTCAGATGCCTGCTGTGTTAACCTGAACATTTGTTTAAATTTCCTTCCTTCCTTTCCTTCAAAACAAAAACAATTTGCCAAGGCAGCAATCCTGTATCCATTTACCCAGGACTAAACTTCACTGAAACCAGCAGTACTTAGTTCTGAATAGACATGTATGGGAATGTACTGTAAAATGGGAGTGGTTTTAGTTAGGGTAAAAGGTAAAGGTACCTCTAACCATTAGGTCCAGTCGCGGACGACTCTGGGGTTGCGTGCTCATCTCGCTCTATAGGCCAAGGGAGCCGGCATTTGTCCGCAGACAGTTTCCAGGTCATGTGGCCAGCATGACTAAGCCGCTTCTGGCGAACCAGAGCAGCGCATGGAAATGCCATTTACCTTCCCGCTGGAGCGATACCTATTTCTCTCATTGCACTTGATGTGCTTCCAAACTGCTAGGTGGGCAGGAGCTGGGACTGAACAATGGGAGCTCACCCCGTCGTGGGGATTCGAACCGCTGACCTTCCGATCGGCAAGCCCTAGGCTCTGTGGTTTAGACCACAGCGCCACCTGCGTCCCTTTAGTTAGGGAACAAGCATCTATTCCTCATAGGATGGGGCAAGGTGGCAGGACAAACTACTCTAGGCAATGCCCTGATACAGCTTTTTGACTGTTGGCCTTAGAGCAGAGTGTAAATAAAATTACAGGCATATGGGAGCAACTAGAGAAAGTAAAAAAACAAAAACACACAAATTAAGTCTACGGTCTCTCATCTTTTCCATTCTTTCTCACTTGCTGTCTCTCTTGATATCTGTTATCTGAGTCTTTTGTGGTTGTGGTTGATATCTGTGATGCCTGAATCTTCGAGTGCAAAAGGATTGAATGAGTTATGCATGTCAGAGGCCTCGGATAGATCCCTGAGCTAAGGTAATGGCAGTTGAAGAAAGGGGCAGGGATTAGTCAGTGTACAGAGAGGAAGTGTTATTGTCACATGTCTGGTAAAGCCTTTGCAATGTACGGTGGAGCAACAGGATTTCACTTGCCCTGCCTTGCCTAATGTGCTGCATGTCATGTGTAATTGATGTGCATATGTGTCAACACCTTTATAGTGTCTGTGAATCAGCTCTGAAGGACCTGCTTCTAAATTTTGTGGTAACGTTGATGTGCCTGAAATTTGGAGCAGATCTAGCCCAGGTCCAGTCAATTATCTCTCTATCTTTTAACTGCAAGCTGAACCTAGCCAGCAGAGATCTGGTAAACCTCAGTCTGTCTCCAGACCTTATTTGAACAGGGGCAGTAAAAACTGCCAGCCTCTCTGCATATTCAGCCTCATAGTGTGGGACACCCCACATGCCTAAACCTATCAAGCTTGCTGAGTGAAGGTCATGTATCAACCGTGAAATTAGATTTTGTGCGTAGACTTGTCAGCTACATATTACGTCCAACACACAGAAGCAAGGTGGGGCCTAGAGTCGATCTGTGCAATTGTGCGGCATGTTGATTTTGTATACTTTGCATTGTGTGTAACGGAATTGAGAAAATATGCGTATCGTTGAAGAGAATGGAAATGGCTATCTGAACCCTTATATATTTTGAATGTTGCTGGTGAACAAGTACCGTGTTTCAGGGACTTCCATTGTGTCTCTGCTAATCTCTTTCGCACTCCTTGCTTTTTGACAATCAAGTTCTCCTTTTTACGTACTGAATTTGCCTTTCCTTTGTCGTTTTTAGGAGTGGTGATAGCAGTGGTTGTCGCAATATCCGCAGCAGCCTTCTCCTTCAACTACTTCAGCGATTAAGAGCCAACCTGAAAACTCCAGCTGCCCCAGATGCCCTCTAAAGATGCACGCTTCCAGAACCGATTGCTTTAACAACCAAGTGTGTCACCTAACAACACCAATTAACAGAAGCTATCCTTATTTAGAACAGCTATCCTGTTTCTGCATGCCATAGTGTAGGTGGTATGATTTTTAAGAGGGTATGTGTGGGGGGAGACCAATACTATCAATTGGCAGATTAATACGACATTACTTTCCCAGATTCACAAAGAATGTCTACTTACCTTTCCGCTTACTAATTAAAAGGACCATTGTTAAAGTTGTTATTTTGTGTTTTTCTAGAAATGCTGAAGCTGTGTGAGATTGTGCAAAGTTTGCTTGCTTCTTTAAACTGCCCAACACTTTAAAAAATACCTTATGAGACCTAGTTCTCCCCTTTCCCCTATTTCTGTGAACATCACTGGGGTGTCTAGGAGAGGGTTTGGGACCCATTCCTGCCTTTGCAATCTCCTGGAGCTGCATGCCAACATTGTGGGGGGTCAAATGCAAAAGGGGCCAGAATAATGGGTGTGACTTTTAGCTGCATACAATAGGCTACATTCCAGCTAGATGCAGTTTCATTAGTATAAGAAAAGGTAGCTGGGCCCTTTCCTTTTTCGTAGACACGCGATCCACATCATTTCCTTAAACCGCAGCAGCCTATGGAGGTGTTGTGTTGCGACTTAGCGATTTAATATCCCAGTCTATTTTGTAAGCGAGAGCTGCAGTCATCACTTGGCCCTCCGGCTTGTAGAAGCCTCCCTTGTGTGATTACTCTTCTTCCAACACGCAACAGGAAAAAAACATCCACAAAGAGAGATCAAAGTGTTCAAAGGGATTCTGAATTTATAGGATGATCGTGCCTGTTATCTGGGGGATATATTTATGATCTGACAGGAAACCTCAGAAGTAATTATGTCTTACATGCTATTTTAGGAAACTAGCAGTTAAAAGAAAAACGGGGAAAACCCGGGAATGCAGCGGTTGGAGCCACCAAAGGCTTATTCATCAGAGGTGTGTCCTCTTGAGGGAAGTGTAGGGCTTGTAACGCTTCCCCCTCTGTCCTGAGTTGTGTGCCAGACCTTCACTTGGGAGTATTAGTTAGAACTTGACAAGAAGAAGAAGAAGGAGAAGAGTTTGGATTTGATATCCCGCCTTTCACTCCCTTTAAGGAGTCTCAAAGCGGCTAACATTCTCCTTTCCCTTCCTCCCCCACAACAAACACTCTGTGAGGTGAGTGGGGCTGAGAGACTTCAAGGAAGTGTGACTGGCCCAAGGTCACCCAGCAGTTGCATGTGGAGGAGCGGAGACTCGAACCTGGTTTCCCAGATTACGAGACTACCGCTCTTAACCACTACACCACACTGGCTTGAATGATCTCCACCTGTTTAATTCTCAGACCATCAGTTGTCTCCTTTGCCCTCCATTCGTAGGCACATGCTGCCCACGAACAAAGCCAGATGGTTTTAATAACACCATGCCTAATGGGATTTACGCTTGGAAACAGGACACGGAGAAGGTGGGATAGCCTAGGGTGGAACACCTGGTTTATAACATGACACATTCAAGTTGAAGTTCAGGGGTTTCCCCCCCTCCTTTTATGAACAAAGGGCAGGAAAGGCCTAGCCCTTCTTTTTGTGTGTGTTTGCATGCTGCTGGGTGAGCTGGAATTAAGACACCTGTGAGGGGTGTGCCTTGAGGGGGAACCCCATTGAGAAGGTGGACGAGGAAGAAGGAAGGGCAAGTCCTTGCTTGCCTCACCTGTGTGGGCTTCCTGCACAGCTCAATAGCTGAGTGCAATGTACCTGAAAGTGTTGCCAATCGACGGTAAAGGAGGATTTCCCTGATGTGGTGCCAGAAGGTTTTTGCAACCGCCAAAGTATATATTTGTGAAATCACTTTTATTGATTTTCCAGATATAAATTTATAACATTCCAAATTCATATCCATACATAGAGATTAGTCTGAATCTCGAGACTTCCATCCATGGGTCCTATTGCCAACATTTACAACTGCATATAATTCCGTAGTCTATATTTTAAATCAATCCACATTATCCATAGTATTTTTTACATTACAAGTGTTATTAAAATCCTGCTAATGTTTCCATCTGCTTGCTGTGGTCTCCTAGCGAAATTATATCCCCCCCCCATTCTTTTTTAAAGTTTTTGTACTCTTGGTTCCCAAAGTTTCACTTTGGTGATATTAGGCCGAAATGTACAGTGGTGCCTCGCAAGACGAAATTAATTCATTCCGCGAGTTTTGTCATCTTGCGATTTTTTTTGTCTTGCGAAGCACGGTGTCGGAAAAGTTTTGGAAAAGCTTCAAAAATCACCAAAGTCTTCAAAAACCTCAAAAAAGGCTACCACACCGCGTGCTATGAGTTGCTCCTCGAAGTCAAGTCGCAACTGTATTAACGGTGTTAAGAAAAAGGAAACAAACTTGCAAGACGTTTCCGTCTTGCGAAGCAAGCCCATAGGGAAAATCGTCTTGTGAAGCAACTAAAAAAAACAAAAAACCCTTTTGTCTTGCGAGTTTTCCGTCTTGCGAGGTATTCGTCTTGCGAGGTACCACTGTATCTTGTTACCCTGCCGTGCCCTCCAAATTTAAAGAAAATATATGAGTGTGTGTGTGTGTGTGTGTGAGAGAGAGAGAATTTTACTGATTTGTGTTTCCCCTCCTTTGATGTCAGCAGGATACGTTCTTCTTAAATACAAATTTAAAATGGGCCATGATCACTTTTACACTCAAAATTAGGCATGCGGTCTGTGGATTGGTCCTGTGTCGATGAGGCCCTTAGCCCCAAAAAAGTTAGCCACTCTTACTTCACTTGGCAGATCTCGTGTGACTGTTTATCCTAACCCTACTGAATGCCTAGAGACCTGATTTAGGCTTTATAATACATCAGGCTTGAATTGTCAACGTGTTCAGACTACAGTACTAAAACATGAGTGGTAGTGGCACTGTCTGTATATAAAAACACAAGGGGCACTTTTCAGGGGTCCTACCTTGCAAGACAGTCGGAAGCTAGAAAGTGCATAAGCTTTGATGCTAGAACTTAATTATAGATCTAGGTCTAGGCACATGTCACAATTTTGCACAAGCACAGGAGGATTCAGTGTTGAAGCTGGGGCTGATTTGGGGGACGGACTGTAGAAGCATGTTAATTTTGCATCATTTTAGCTTTCCTTGAGACAATTCAGGTTACTTTGGTGCAGAACATTTGGGGTTTATTAGCACATGCACACGCTCTGCTGCCTCTTAATCCCTATGACCTACTAGAAGGTGATCGTATTTGTTGTTTCAGTAAAAATACTGGCAAACTCGAGGCCGTAGGTGTGGTCCCTTTATTGCATATTTTGCATTTATTTGTCTGTGCCTTCAGGGCTCCCAGCTGCACTTGCATTGACTGTTTATTGGCCAGGTATGCCTTTTACTCTTTAAAGTTTCACAACCAAGATCAGCATTAGTGCTGGATGATTTAGTAGTTTTCCTGCTGTTTCTCCAGGATCGAAATGAATTTGACTGCCAAATTTTTAAGAACAGTTACTTGGGAATTGATGGCATTCACTCAGTCAATCCATGTGTGTCAGTCCTGCCTTGTGTGCTGGGGCAGAGCAAAGGGGAGCAAAATAGAGGGGGAGTCTGCACACCATAAGCCTCTATGCTGATCAGCAAGGAAACTGACTTGGAAGACTTGACTGGAGTAGCTGGCCTAATGGTGGAAGGAGACTTCTTTAGCCAATGTGCCTCTTCCCCAATTTTCTCCTTGCTGCACACAAGCTAAATCCAAACATGTCATTTCTCCGTTCACTGGTTCAGTGTCTGCTGTGGGGGCGAAATTCTAAGCAATGAGTGAAGTTATGAATTGCAGGGAGGCTCTGTAGCTCAGTGGCAGAGCTTGTGTCCTTTATACAAAAGGCCCCATGTTGAATTCCTGGCCTCTAGGTACGGATGGGAGAAACCTGTATGAAACCCATGGTTAACTCAGACTTGGTATAACCAAAATCTGTAACCATTTTGAGGGTTCCAGGTGAGTATTGCCATCCACTGCAGTTGTATGTGCTTCTTCCATGCTGCCTGAAGGCACTGGTGTTGAGAAAGATGTGGAAAATCCTTTGAAAGAGAAAATGGAAGAAATTTTGTGTGTGTATAATAATAATTATACATGGGGCGTGGGTGGCGCTGGGGCGCGGGTGGCGCTGTGGGTAAAACCTCAGTGCCTAGGACTTGCCGATCCTATGGTCGGCGGTTCGAATCCCCGCGGCGGGGTGAGCTCCCGTCGTTCGGTCCCAGCTCCTGCCCACCTAGCAGTTCGAAAGCACCCTTAAGTGCAAGTAGATAAATAGGTACCGCTTTATAGCGGGAAGGTAACGGTGTTTCCGTGCACTGCGCTGGTGCTGGCTCACCAGAGCAGCTTCGTCACGTTGGCCACGTGAACCGGAAGTGTCTCCGGACAGCGCTGGCTCCCGGCCTATAGAGTGAAATGAGCACGCAACCCCAGAGTCGGACACGACTGGCCCGTACGGGCAGGGGTACCTTTACCTTTTATAATAATAATAATAATAGTAATAATAATAATAATAGTAATAATAGTAATAATAATAATAATAATTAATTAATTAATTTGTACCCCGCCCATCTGGCTGGGTTTCCCCAGCCATTCTGGGCGGCTTCCAACAAAGATTAAAATTACATAAAAATGTCACACATTAAAAACTTCCCTGAACAAGGCTGCCTTCGGATGTCTTCTAAATGTCAGGTAGTTGTTTATCTCTTTGACATCTGATGGCAGGGCATTCCACAGGGCAGGCGCCACTACCGAGAAGGCCCTCTGCCTGGTTCCCTGTAGCTTTGCTTCTCGCAGTGAGGGAACCGCCAGAAGGCCCTCGGCACTGGACCTCAGCGTCCGGGCAGAACGTTGGGCGTGGAGATGCTCCTTCAGGTATACTGAGCCAAGGCCGTTTAGGGCTTTAAAGGTCAACACCAACACTTTGAATTGTGTTCGGAAATGTACTGGGAACCAATGTAGGTCTTTCAAGACAAGCGTTATGTGGTCTCAGTTGCCGCCCCCAGTCACAAGTCTAGCTGCCGCTTACTGGATTAGTTGTAGTTTGCGGGTCACCTTCAAAGGTAGCCCCACATAGAGCGCATTGCAGTAGTCTAAGCGGGAGATAACTAGAGCATGCACCACTCTGGTGAGACAGTCCGCTGGCAGGTAGGGTCTCAGCCTGTGTACCAGATGGAGCTGGTAGACAGCTGCCCTGGATACAGAATTGACCTG